ATTGGTACATTGTTCGACTCCTACAACCTACGTTTTGAAGCCAGAGACTCGTCACCGCTTACAACAAAGCTCGCAATATGATACTTTTCTGTCTCAAGCCCGAGGTGAGTGTTTCAACGTATTTCATCTCATTTTGGCCACACGGGTAACACTAGACGACGGTAATTGGACGATTGCCAATCTTGAGACCTAGGAATACATGATGCAAATTTACCTGTCCAGCTCGGTAACTAATCCATGTTTTACCATCATATCCATAGCGGATTAAATAGCTTGTCACCCGGTTGTCCCTTTTAGCATCTCCCTGAGTCGCCACGCCTGTGACTGTTACAATTTTATTGAAATCAGCCTGTAAGTACTGAGGTAGGGATGCTGAAGAGCTGCACCAACCGTCTGTACCATAAAGGCGACTAAAAGCTGCTTGGTGACTACTAAGTTGTGAGGATGCTGTAATTGTAAAATGCCTGGTCGGTTGAAATCGTTCATTCTTAAACGATTCAAAGCAACCTGTAAAAACATCAAGAAAAAATATATGGCATTTTTATTAAGAATTTTATGTACTGTTTAAAAACCGAGGAGTTTCGATTATCAGGTTTTAAACCTGATAATACAGACTGCGAGTTTCAACGACTTCAAAATCTCTGATATAGATCCATTCATTCTTGCACTAATATTTAGATTTGGGTTTATTTTGGTCTAAAGTTGGACGTAAAGTTTCCTCCTGAATGCATTGAAACACTTTTTAGGCTAACCAGAAAAATTTTTTAGATATCTAGAAATGTATTCTAAGTAGCGCTAAAAAATTTTTTTTGTTCGGTCATCCCAGGGCAGCTTGAATCTTTTTACAAGGGCTTCAGCATTATTTTTGCGAAAATTTTAGCTGCAATTTAGAGTTTTACGAAAGAGACAATTTTTCTATGCATTGCATTTTTGGTTCCAAAAATTTTAGGTTTCCTTTCTCTACTAAAAAAAGGCTTAACCTGGGGAGTGAAATGGAAAAAAATAAAGTTCACAAAATCGTAAGGAATTTATTAGATAGGCTTCAAAAATTATACATGAATGGAACGGTCATCTAAAAAAATCTAGACAATTTTTGCTTTTCCGAACAGATATTTCACAGAAAACAGTCACTGGGAGTTTGCGTATTTGTTTGAAAATGGAGGTAAAAATCTGTGTAATAAAAAATATCCGGATACATGTGGACGGGGCTAAACCTATTGCTTTTTTGCCGTTGTCGTCGCTGCTTAGGCTTCCTACTTACTGCCTGACCAATCTTTGTACTTCTATGCTTATTTCACGTTTTCTTGTTTCCTCTCTGTTGAGTTTTCTCCTTTACTTTAGAAAAAAAGTGCTTTAAATAATTAGATTCATTATATTTTGTCCCTCCTCGTTTGTTTCCTTCTTTGTAATTGTCACTAATATGAAGCGGATGCAAATTTAAAAAAGAGTTCAAAAACTGATTAATAATTCATAACGAAAAAACAAAAGAAATTTTAAAAGTTTAATGAGTGACCTAACGGAGGGATACGTAGCAAATTCGAATCGTAGTCACCCGTCCACACGAAAACGCTAAAACAATGGAAATGCCATAGCTTTATTATTAAGCATACGTTATGCTAGAAGTATATGGTGTATGACATCATCGTATTCCGAATTCGAAACAGTTTTCGTCCGTCCACACGTAAAAGAAAAGCCGAGTAGGTTTTCGAAAATCTCCACTCTGGAGAGCGTTATTGAAAAGGTGTGTTTCGTTGACCGTTTTCACTGCATTAGTGAGTGTGGAAGGTAGGCTGAACCGGAGAAAATAAATATCCGTTTTCAAACAAAAACGAATACATGTGGACGGGCCCTTAGATAAGCAAAACAACAACTTTGCACGTGCATTAGGTATTTTTGTACATTTCTTTGACGTCACTGCACGACTACGACGTGAAACTCCTTAATTTCACGTTTCGTTGAGAATCTGAACACAAGACAAAGACTTTCCTTTGTTTTTTTTTTAAACTGAGATACAGACCTTCTGAACTCAACTCGCGAAATATTCTCTAACATTTGACAAATTTAGCGTAATGAAACAACAGCGATGGCGGTCCCGTAAAAAATAGTGTCCCTTATTTGCACTTTCGTGTTAAATACATTGACACTCAGAAAAAGTGCATTTTTTTAATGCTGTGTTTGTCTTTTGAACTGCATGTATTGGGTATGTACTAAGAGACCAACCTTGCTTAGATCCATACACCTCCACCCTTAATGCTTTCCTTCCTTGAAATGTAACTGGATAAAAACGAATAAACTTGGCAGCAAGTGGCTCAGATAGTTCATTTCTTACAATGCTGTTCCTGTCACCATTTCCAGTAAATGTCTAAGAGCAAATTAACAAAAACTTCTATAAAATGCGGATGAAAGACAAATTCGTGCGTTTAGGTGTGATCACCTTTAACCATCTAAATTTTTGTGTAGCAAGGGAGTGGTTGCATGGATGCGTTTTAACTCTGCTGGGAGACGCCATACTGAATTTCAGATGAAGGAGTGTTCTGCGCATGGGTAGATGGAAAAACAACTGAAAATAATTAAAATTCTCAAACTACTTCGGGTGTTCCGTGTCAAGAGAGCGAAAATATTGAACTGTTCCGTGTCCGGTGAAAGTTTTCAACCGGTCGAAAATTCGTCTGGTTCTTTTTTAACATAGCCTAAGTCTCAGTGGCGGATCCAGATCTTCCGATATGGGGGACCCCGGCCTCCAAAAGAATTTTTTTTCGGCCTCTCAAGCCTCAGTTTGGTCCAAAAATAAGGGAGGGCAGGCTCCCCGGGCCTCTCCCCTGGATCCGCCACTGAGTCTCACCCTATCCGCTCACAATTAACAGGAGAGAAAAAACATATAAACAAACGATATTTCTGAGGATTACAACTACATTGACGATGACTCCCGCCGGCAGAACAAAAGGCAAAGGATGTTAAAAGGAAAATCACGTCTATGTAAGTTTCTTTCACATTTTACTACTTATTTCCCTAACGTTTCCATTGTAAACAGCAAGAGACCAAGGAAGGAAGGCTGTAGTAACGAGGGGGAAAAGAAAGCAAGGCAGGAGACAGGAAGAAAAGGATAAGACAACTAGAGACGGTGAAGATGGGAGAAGAGAGAGGGAAGCAAATGGAAGGGAGAGAAAGGAACGAAAGCAACTTCGACATGTCAAATCCTAGTTCTCGAGGTTAAGAGATAAACACAGTCCTTTATTACTTAGTGTCTCCACGATTATAATTTCGCTATAAATTCATCTACAACAAAAAAGGATGTACCTTTTCGGAACCACCCTCAGAGTAAAATGTCCTCCAGACATTATCCAGGGACGTCTTTATCTTGTATGTTTTTGTCCAATCATTAGCATCTGGACTTCCTTGTGTTGCTACTGCACAAACAAGGTAACGAGATCCCAGATCGATCTGGAGGAAAGCATTGTTGTCATTGTTGGCAGGAATCCAGGCATTGGATCCTTCTAATTGGCCATCAGATGGACTGCGGCCGCTAAGAGATGACGAAGCTGAAAACCTCTGCTTAGAAATATCGTTATTAGCCGACACTCCTACTGGATCAAATGCACAACCTAAGTTTAGGGGAAAAAAGGAGGAAAAAATATTTTCATGTTATCACTCTTAACGTAATAGATTAGACTCGCAGAACAAATTTATTGCCGCGATTTTGGGTTCCTTCCTGCTTTATAAAAAAAAAACACATTAAAATTTAGGCAAATGTCAGGCCTGGGATAAAAAAGTAATGGATTCCATATTGAACTAGGCCGAGTGCATCTACGTCTCGTTTGTAATCTCGTATGTAGTCTGTGTATTACGGTTACCATCCACAGCTCGTGATGCTACTCCAAAAGCTGTACGCGGACTGTGTAGTATTCTTTCTTAGGGCCACGTCTACAAAGAACTCTTGTTGTAAACTCAATGGCTAATAATTCACGAAGAGAACATTATGAACGAAGTTCTTGTTTTATCAGAGTTTCTGAAATAGTGACACAGTTGTCCTTATTTACAACAAACACTTCTTAATTCAACCCGCTCGCGATTGGAAAAGAAAAACAACTCGAATTAACAAGGAGTTTCATAAAAATAACCATCACCATACCCACTACATATAAACTTTATTTTTACACTCATCGTTTTGCCATCTCCGCCCGCAAATAGCAAGAGCTAGACTAGGCGAGCGGAGTGGAAAGGTTACAGCAGTCATAAATATTAAATTAAAAGAAGCTATGAACAAGATTATATTGAAGTAAACTAAATAAAATATGCGGATAAATAAGCTAAAGTTACAAAATAGTTTTACAGAATGGAATTACAAGACAAATTTACTAAAGAACTTATCAATAATTAGTGTAATAAGTCGTGGCTACAGATTTTGCAATTTTTTGCAGCAGATTGGGCACTTCACTGACATAATCATCCTCCGTTTCCATTATCGAGAGCAACAAATCATGAAAATGTATTTTAAAAGCTCCCTTACAGAGCTGACGGAATTCGTTGGGTATTGCGTTCTAAAGTTGATTTTACTCAGGTAAATTAAGGCATGGGTCTCCAATGATTCAGTCAAAAAGTGATGGGTGGTGGTCTATCTCTGAGCACGTAAGCAGTAGAAAGATGAAACTTTCCCAGATACATACATGTGTGGTTTCTGTCAATTCGGTGATGTTCAATTATGTAATGGTTGTCACGTGACTCCACACGGTCAGAAAACAATAAAAAGTCTTTAAACAAAAATGGCAACACTTTTTGTTGTGAGTTATTAAACCGGACTGGTTTAGGAAAATGTGTAATGCAAGCATCTACAAGACTGTGCTTGGCCTTTTTTGAATTTTTTGCTGTTTTAGAAAATAAACGGCTTTTTCAACTAGACCCAGTCCCCCAAGGCATTTGTATCCCATCTTAACGCCTTCGATTTTAAATATCTAAAAAAGGCCAAGTAATTTCCAGACGAAGAAAACCTGGTCTCATGCTTGTGCTTTGAATTAGCTTTAGCAAAGAAATCACAGCTGTTAGACGGAGCATTCAAATTCAAGCAGGAGACGTCAAACATTATAGAAGATACTTTTTCAGCATATAACATTTTTAAGGGTAGAATTTTTGAGGAAACAAATAAAGACACAGCATGGGTTCTGGGTTCAGAAAAATACATCAAACGAGGCACTCGTTTTTATAGCACGATAATTTTTTGTAAATGGGTTTTGGCAGCTTGACCCCAAGCCGCCAAACCATATGTCAGATGAGGCAATATCAAAGATCGATAAATATTTAAAAGGGTAGGACGTGGGACGAAGTGTCTAAGACGCGTAAGAACACCAACAGTTATGCTTACTTTTAATGCAACATTATTAATAGGAAATTTCCATGCAGCTTTAATTGCTGTCCAACAGGACACCAAGATATTTAACATGGTCTTTACACTCAAGGGTAGTAGGAATTTGGGTACAGTTATTAATCATTTCAATATTAACGAGTACTTCAACTTAGGTTGATATGGACGAAAGATAACATAATTTGACTTTTTAGCATTGAGCGTTAACTTATTTGCATTGAGCCAGTAGAAGACTTTGGGCCGTTCGCTATTGACGGTTTTCTCGAGAGATTTCAAATTAGTGGAAGCATACAGCAAGTTCGTGTCATCAGCAACGAGACAGAATGAGAATTTGGATGAGGAGTTGTGAACATATTGTCGTTAATATATATAGATTAAGAATAACAGTGGATCAAGCACAGACCCCTGTGAGACACCTACTTCAGTTACTCGTGAACGACCAAGAAAGTATGAGACAAACCGGTCATTGATAATTCCACTGATGCCGTCAGGAAGCTAGGTTAAATGGTCGACGGTATCAAAGGCCTTTTTTAAGTCTAAAAAGATCCCGCAAGTGAAAATGTTTGGTCCATATTGTTTTGAATGACATTAACACTAGCTAACACTGTCAATAATGGCATGTTGCGTGGAATGTTTTTTTCGCGGAAGCCATAATGTGACTTAAATAGAATACCGTTTTTACCACGAAAGGATTTGAGGCGGTGGTACTTTAATTTTTCAAATATCCGATTGAAAATAGACAGTAATGATATCGAACGACAATTACCTGGCTCAGGCTTATCGTCATTTTGGAATACAGGAACAACTTTCGCTTTTTTCAGTTTGGATGGGAAGACGCCCTTTTGAACAGATTTGGTCATAATGATAGCGCGAAGGCCCGAAATAACGCATCTAGCGTCAGTTAAAATACGGATAGGACAAGAGTAGAGACGGTAAGTTTTATTTTGGGGGATCAAAAGTATCTCACGCTCAGTCTCCGCTGGAGAAACTGGATCAAAAAAGAAAGAGCTTTGATTATAATAAGGAGACCAGTATTCGGTAAATTTGCGAGATGAACGTGGTGCGCGTGACACTAGGTTTTCACCGACCCAAGAAAAGAAGTCATGGAAGATGTTAGAAATCTCAAGAGGATCATTAGAGACTTTACAAGCTCAATAAATACTCGCTTCAGATTGACCGCTGGTTTTTCATATACAGCGACGCAAGGTTGTTCAGTTTACCCTATCCGCTGTTGTCGAATGAGTGTCGTATGAATTTAAACCAAAGCTAATACTTCCTCCAATCACGACGCCGACAAATCCAGCTAATGAACCAATCAGCTGAACTTAAAGTAAAACCATGTTGAGTCGAAACTAAAAAAGCGCGCAACCACTGAGCGACAAGGACGTCGCTCCTGATCAGCGGCGGAAAAAACAGTTTTTCTTGGTGTTGCAAAATATATACTGTAGGTTAGCTATCCTCTTGTTGTGGTTTGGGTATTGTCAGTGTCTTTTCAGTCTTCTGTATTATGTCATTTGGTGATTGCTGGCACACGTCCGCAACTCACCAAGAAACTAGCTGCAAGAGGGGCGCAAATTTCCTCATACTTAATCAAATGATATTCAGTCACACTGAATACCGCCTCAGATACAATACAGTATACACGAAAGATGCCCCTTTTAATATTTCTCAGGGTTTTCTGATTATCATGGACAATATTAAGAATGACGTAAATAAATAAATACAATGCATCTTAGTAAACTTAATTTTTGGGGGAGTTTACACCGTTGAAACTGTTGTTATCAACTGAATTTCCATGGTAAGAAGGATTTATCACATAACTGTATAAAATCAGGCAAACACCACAAAAGAAAAATGAACAGATTGATTAAAAAAAATACAGATACTTTTTATATATAAACAATACAAAACGATTTTTAAAACAGATTACTTGTTTAGTAAAAGGCAAAAAAGCATCATGCATATACCTACAAAATAAACAGGAGGAAAGAAAAGCGCTCTTACTTTCTGTTTTAAGATAGGAATAAACTTCAACCTCGCAGAGTATCAACCACATGTTAGGTAATCTGATGTACAAATATCTGCCATATGCTTTGGGACTACAGGAAAATGTCTTGGAACCTCCTTGTGGGACGTTTCTGATATTTGCACAAAGATGGTTGTTTGCTCCTCCATTTGTTGTATCATTTCCTTGCAAAGTGAATAAAAGAAAATATGAGGTAACATTAACTGCAGTATTCAAACACAATAGTTGAAAAGGTAACAAAGAACCGATCTTGGCATTGACTTCATTAGATCAGGGGAGTGCTGCAATCTCACTTGCAAAACCTTTACATTGATATATAGAGTGTTTTCACTCACGTGGCCAGCACATATGCAAATTTATTGGAACAAAAGAAAGCGTTTACATAAGAAGAGAGTTCAACTCCCGCAGGATCAGTTTGGGACACAAACATGGCCGCCGTTTCATTGTTTTGGGACACCACTATGGCCGCCGTGACGTCATGTGAAAACACTCTATATACTGACTCACTCAAATAGAATCTGTGGAAATTTGACTTTCCATGAATGTAAGGAAGAAAATGATATTGATACTAAATACATGTACACTTTTACAAAACAGAGAAATCACGTTGACATAATCTTCTACTGAAAAATCTTAACTTAAATGCCAATGGAAAAGTAATCTCGTATTACACTGTAATTGAAATATTTCAAAATGAACAAGGAACAAATTTGAACAACTAGGTAAAGCAACTGATTACAGCATCTCCCACAATGACTACCTACCAACTCTTATCTCAGCTCCATTCAATCTGTTTCCGTGTGAGTTTCTGTTGACTATATTCACTTCAGCTACAGGCTCTACTCGCCCCAGGTCTACTCGCCACCAAGCAGTGTTGTCTCGGTGAGTGTGTGTACATTTGCTGATGTGAGTACCCCTATCTCCATCCACTGCATTACTGGCAGGGTAGGATATCGAATCACTGTATGTACTTGACTGTTTTGTTGGCTTGGAAAGAGCAATATTGCTCGGAACTAAAAACCAAACGAATAATAAAAATTAAAGATGAACGCAGCGGGGTTGGCTCTGCTCTAGGCCCCAGCTCTTGGAGACCAATGGGTTCTTATACTTCTGTTCTTGGGCGACTAGAAAATCTCAGCTTTTATATGGAAATCATATGCTGGGTACCCTGGATTTCACAGCTACAGAGCATTGGGCTCCTTAGAATTTTCCTTAGAGCACAGCCTTAAACAGAGGAAAATCAAGTATTGAAGGCCTTTCTGAATCAACTTATTAATGTTCAAAGTACATGTATACCTGTACATGTAGTGTGTCTGCAGTGTAGTACAAAAAATGGTCTTGGTAAGTATTTGATCGGTAGCTGTTCAAAATCTCAACCTTTTAATTTTGACAGGTTGGTCACAAACTAGCCTGGAAATACACTAGCCATCAGATCTCTCTTTATTCCTCACCACTAGAGACCTTCCACAGGAGAGACATCCGCAAAATGGCCCCCAAAATTCCATATTGATGACATGAATCAATGTTTACAAAATTAATCTTGTAGTCATCGGGTTCTAGATAATTGTTTGAGTTAAAGTCTCTCCTCGTCTATAATCGAAAAGTTTTGAGTTCTTCTGCGAAGGAGCAGCAGCAAAACTCAAATTCTTCTTGTAAAGAAGATTATATTCCACGAATAATCACTTTTTTAGCGGATTCATGGCATTTACTGTACATCTCTGTAACCTTTTGTCTTTTGTCTGTTATTCGTAAACAATGACTAAAAGAATAGAATGACTACTTTGACCAATCCCTATTCATTGACAAGATTCCAGAGACATTAAATCTGCATATGATTCAATATAGAATCTTTGGGGCAAAATTGCAGATAGCTCATTTTCCTGCAAAATGTGTTTGGTTGCAAGGAGAAAGGCATATACAGTGAATTACTTGCAAAGACTTTTTTTAAAAAAGATTTTTAAAAAGAAAGAACAAGATAATGGTTCAAGAGCTGATGTGGTCACAAAAAGAAAAAAAATCATATATCAATGATGTGAAGGAAGGTTCCACAACTGGGTAAAAAACTATATCCCTTCAAAACTGAGCAATTTCTGCAATATATCAAACCTCTGCTTCTAGGTATGCCAGAAACTTCTACTCGTAAACATGCTCCACCATGTTTGGACCCAGCAACAAAACGCAAGTATCTGGCAACAAATGCACTGAACAAGATCTGTTTTTCTACTGTGTTCTGATCGAAGTTTCCATTGAATGTCTGGGAAACAAATCAAGAACAAAAAAAAAACAAAAAAGCTTATCATTTAGGAGGTAATTCTTCAATAAAGATAGTGTTCAGTTTATTAAACCCAGGGCTGTCACTAAGTTGCAAGATAATTATATGCAAATTATAGGTAAAGATTTGAAAAGCCCACCAATTTAAGAAGGACGATGGAACCCTTACAACAGATGACACTGAAAAACGATTATTTCTGCAAAATTGCTGAAAAATTGATTGGCCCCGCGGATGAAATTCAGCCATTACACGCTCATAGCCGTAAGAATGTGGATATGCCGATTATGACCAGCATCACGATGAGTCAGAAGGAAATCGAGGAAAAGATCTGTAAGTTAAAAGTGAAGAAAGCCACGGGGCCAGATGGCTTATCTGCGCGTCTTTTAAAGTATGCAGGTATGTCTATTGCCCCATTTCTCACGAGCGTGTTTAAACAGAGTGTTGAAGCCTGCAAGCCACCAGACTAGTCATGGAAGATGTTAGAAATCTCAAGAGGATCATTAGAGACTTTACAAGCTCAATAAATACTCGCTTCAGATTGACCGCTGGTTTTTCATATACAGCGACGCAAGGTTGTTCAGTTTACCCTATCCGCTGTTGTCGAATGAGTGTCGTATGAATTTAAACCAAAGCTAATACTTCCTCCAATCACGACGCCGACAAATCCAGCTAATGAACCAATCAGCTGAACTTAAAGTAAAACCATGTTGAGTCGAAACTAAAAAAGCGCGCAACCACTGAGCGACAAGGACGTCGCTCCTGATCAGCGGCGGAAAAAACAGTTTTTCTTGGTGTTGCAAAATATATACTGTAGGTTAGCTATCCTCTTGTTGTGGTTTGGGTATTGTCAGTGTCTTTTCAGTCTTCTGTATTATGTCATTTGGTGATTGCTGGCACACGTCCGCAACTCACCAAGAAACTAGCTGCAAGAGGGGCGCAAATTTCCTCATACTTAATCAAATGATATTCAGTCACACTGAATACCGCCTCAGATACAATACAGTATACACGAAAGATGCCCCTTTTAATATTTCTCAGGGTTTTCTGATTATCATGGACAATATTAAGAATGACGTAAATAAATAAATACAATGCATCTTAGTAAACTTAATTTTTGGGGGAGTTTACACCGTTGAAACTGTTGTTATCAACTGAATTTCCATGGTAAGAAGGATTTATCACATAACTGTATAAAATCAGGCAAACACCACAAAAGAAAAATGAACAGATTGATTAAAAAAAATACAGATACTTTTTATATATAAACAATACAAAACGATTTTTAAAACAGATTACTTGTTTAGTAAAAGGCAAAAAAGCATCATGCATATACCTACAAAATAAACAGGAGGAAAGAAAAGCGCTCTTACTTTCTGTTTTAAGATAGGAATAAACTTCAACCTCGCAGAGTATCAACCACATGTTAGGTAATCTGATGTACAAATATCTGCCATATGCTTTGGGACTACAGGAAAATGTCTTGGAACCTCCTTGTGGGACGTTTCTGATATTTGCACAAAGATGGTTGTTTGCTCCTCCATTTGTTGTATCATTTCCTTGCAAAGTGAATAAAAGAAAATATGAGGTAACATTAACTGCAGTATTCAAACACAATAGTTGAAAAGGTAACAAAGAACCGATCTTGGCATTGACTTCATTAGATCAGGGGAGTGCTGCAATCTCACTTGCAAAACCTTTACATTGATATATAGAGTGTTTTCACTCACGTGGCCAGCACATATGCAAATTTATTGGAACAAAAGAAAGCGTTTACATAAGAAGAGAGTTCAACTCCCGCAGGATCAGTTTGGGACACAAACATGGCCGCCGTTTCATTGTTTTGGGACACCACTATGGCCGCCGTGACGTCATGTGAAAACACTCTATATACTGACTCACTCAAATAGAATCTGTGGAAATTTGACTTTCCATGAATGTAAGGAAGAAAATGATATTGATACTAAATACATGTACACTTTTACAAAACAGAGAAATCACGTTGACATAATCTTCTACTGAAAAATCTTAACTTAAATGCCAATGGAAAAGTAATCTCGTATTACACTGTAATTGAAATATTTCAAAATGAACAAGGAACAAATTTGAACAACTAGGTAAAGCAACTGATTACAGCATCTCCCACAATGACTACCTACCAACTCTTATCTCAGCTCCATTCAATCTGTTTCCGTGTGAGTTTCTGTTGACTATATTCACTTCAGCTACAGGCTCTACTCGCCCCAGGTCTACTCGCCACCAAGCAGTGTTGTCTCGGTGAGTGTGTGTACATTTGCTGATGTGAGTACCCCTATCTCCATCCACTGCATTACTGGCAGGGTAGGATATCGAATCACTGTATGTACTTGACTGTTTTGTTGGCTTGGAAAGAGCAATATTGCTCGGAACTAAAAACAAAACGAATAATAAAAATTAAAGATGAACGCAGCGGGGTTGGCTCTGCTCTAGGCCCCAGCTCTTGGAGACCAATGGGTTCTTATACTTCTGTTCTTGGGCGACTAGAAAATCTCAGCTTTTATATGGAAATCATATGCTGGGTACCCTGGATTTCACAGCTACAGAGCATTGGGCTCCTTAGAATTTTCCTTAGAGCACAGCCTTAAACAGAGGAAAATCAAGTATTGAAGGCCTTTCTGAATCAACTTATTAATGTTCAAAGTACATGTATACCTGTACATGTAGTGTGTCTGCAGTGTAGTACAAAAAATGGTCTTGGTAAGTATTTGATCGGTAGCTGTTCAAAATCTCAACCTTTTAATTTTGACAGGTTGGTCACAAACTAGCCTGGAAATACACTAGCCATCAGATCTCTCTTTATTCCTCACCACTAGAGACCTTCCACAGGAGAGACATCCGCAAAATGGCCCCCAAAATTCCATATTGATGACATGAATCAATGTTTACAAAATTAATCTTGTAGTCATCGGGTTCTAGATAATTGTTTGAGTTAAAGTCTCTCCTCGTCTATAATCGAAAAGTTTTGAGTTCTTCTGCGAAGGAGCAGCAGCAAAACTCAAATTCTTCTTGTAAAGAAGATTATATTCCACGAATAATCACTTTTTTAGCGGATTCATGGCATTTACTGTACATCTCTGTAACCTTTTGTCTTTTGTCTGTTATTCGTAAACAATGACTAAAAGAATAGAATGACTACTTTGACCAATCCCTATTCATTGACAAGATTCCAGAGACATTAAATCTGCATATGATTCAATATAGAATCTTTGGGGCAAAATTGCAGATAGCTCATTTTCCTGCAAAATGTGTTTGGTTGCAAGGAGAAAGGCATATACAGTGAATTACTTGCAAAGACTTTTTTTAAAAAAGATTTTTAAAAAGAAAGAACAAGATAATGGTTCAAGAGCTGATGTGGTCACAAAAAGAAAAAAAATCATATATCAATGATGTGAAGGAAGGTTCCACAACTGGGTAAAAAACTATATCCCTTCAAAACTGAGCAATTTCTGCAATATATCAAACCTCTGCTTCTAGGTATGCCAGAAACTTCTACTCGTAAACATGCTCCACCATGTTTGGACCCAGCAACAAAACGCAAGTATCTGGCAACAAATGCACTGAACAAGATCTGTTTTTCTACTGTGTTCTGATCGAAGTTTCCATTGAATGTCTGGGAAACAAATCAAGAACAAAAAAAAAACAAAAAAGCTTATCATTTAGGAGGTAATTCTTCAATAAAGATAGTGTTCAGTTTATTAAACCCAGGGCTGTCACTAAGTTGCAAGATAATTATATGCAAATTATAGGTAAAGATTTGAAAAGCCCACCAATTTAAGAAGGACGATGGAACCCTTACAACAGATGACACTGAAAAACGATTATTTCTGCAAAATTGCTGAAAAATTGATTGGCCCCGCGGATGAAATTCAGCCATTACACGCTCATAGCCGTAAGAATGTGGATATGCCGATTATGACCAGCATCACGATGAGTCAGAAGGAAATCGAGGAAAAGATCTGTAAGTTAAAAGTGAAAAAAGCCACGGGGCCAGATGGCTTATCTGCGCGTCTTTTAAAGTATGCAGGTATGTCTATTGCCCCATTTCTCACGAGCGTGTTTAAACAGAGTGTTGAAGCCTGCAAGCCACCAGACCAGTGGAAAATAGCTAGAGTATGTGCAGCGTTCAAAAAAGGACGAGAGGAAGACAGAACATGTTACAGACCACTGTCTATGCTTAGTATACCAAGTAAATTAATGGAATCCTGCGTCGCAAGTAATATCCCTAATCACGTGGTTACGCAAAATTTACTTGATAACAGACAATGGGCTTATAGGAAGGGAAAGTCAACAGAACATCTACTGAGAGGTGGAGAGAAGCAGTAGAAAGAAAGCTTTTTGTGGGAATCAATACTGCTTGTGGATTTCACTAAAGCTTTCTACACAGTGCCGCACAATATATTGCTACAAAAGCTGAACGACCTTGGAATCAGAGGAGATATCTGGCTGTGGTTAAAGAACTTAGCTACCTTACAGAACGAAGACAATTCGAATCAACGGATCCGACTCCGATACACACATTATAGCTCTCGGAGTGCCGCAAGGGTCGATCCTCGGACCCACGTTATTCTCCCTCTTCACAAACGACCTCCCAAAATCACTACGCTCTGCGGAAACTTATCTGTATGCAGACGACACAACAATATACTGTATCGCAGAAACGTTGGATTTGCTAACAAACTCACTAAACAATGTTCTAGCTGAACTCCAGGAATGGTGCGACAGAAATTCGATGGTACCACACTCAGAAAAATGTAAAGCAATGATCATGCAGCGCAAATCAACATTTACTGGCCCTATCCAAGCTCTTCGCCTGTCAACAACATCATAAAGTGGACAACCTCAGAAAGACTCCTCGGAGTACAGGTTGATGACAAGTTGTCCTGGTCAGATCATGCTGCAAATGTAGCGAAGTCCTTCGCATCCAAGTTAAGTCTACTCTGACGCATGCAATTCCTCTCTCAGAACCAATTAAAAGATTTCTACGCAAAAGTGATACTGCCATCAGTTACATACGGTCTGACAGTGTAGACGCACCTAAACAACCTGGAGAAACTCCATGCAAGAGCTGGACGGATTGTATATGGGCTGCCATGGGACACCAGCGCTGAAGAAGTCTTAATGCGAACTGGATGGGACAGTCTGGAAACAATGTACAAACTGCGACTAACGGAGTTTGTCTTCAAGTGTTTAAAAGGTTACACCGTCACGGAATTTAAAGATTTGTTTTTACAGAGGAATTCAGGCAGCAGAAGAAATGAGAACATCATTATTCCAAGACCGGAAACAAATTTTATCAGGAACTCTATACACTTTAGAGGAGCAATTGCATGGAACACTTTAACGAACAAGGACACAAGGGCCAAAACCTTGAAAGAATTTAAAGGCTGTCTTGTAAAATTTGACACCGATAAAATACATTTCGAACCAATCTTAGCTACTACTGAAAATAGAGATATCGGTTACGAATACTTTTAACAGTTTTAATTTTTAATTGTACATTTTCACGACCTATTTTAAACATTTTTAACAGTTTTTAATTTTTAATCGTACCGTTTGCTTTTAGTACTTCTTATTTTTCTTGTAATTGTTAGTATGCACGACCCCACCAGCAATGCTGATCTTTTTATCGTGCTAAAATAAAGTTCTTATCTTATCTTATCTTATCTTAAGCTAGGAAATTCTGTTGGTTTAGTGTGCTTTCGTTTTTTTTCCCATGAAAGTAGCCAGGGGTCATACTGATAGGAAATTCCTGGTCCCTGCCCTTAGTGAGTTTTCTGTGAACCCAATGGGGTGTCAACCTCTCACTCCCCACTTCCCCCTTCTGGATTCAATTAGCTTTACCCGGCATGGCATTACCCGTTTGGGTAACAAACTTTGCTCCTTAATATGCTTGTCATTCTTCCACCTCAGTATATAAGTGCAACAAATTTCTGAAGGTAACCTTTGAACAAACTAGCATTCCATTCAAAGGGGAGAAGCAATTTATACTCCTAGGTGCTTCATGCAGCAGAAAATGGGTTTAGCTCTCTATCAATCAGAACTGTGCTTGCAGTCAGACCAGTCTTATCCTAAGAAGGGTGGTAGGAAGAGGTCGTCTTTTTTTGCAAAAGAAAAAAGCGTTTTTCCCTGTTAAAGTGATGGGCCAGGCCATTAATATATGCACCCTTAAACCTAAGTACCTTAACTTGTCCATTTTCTTTATAATCTGTCCAAGTTGTCCCGTCTGTAGATGACTGTAGGGTGTAAGACTCCACCCACTGACTCCCCTGGGAATCCCCCTGAGTGGATACAGCACAGATGATATAAGGAATCCGTAAGTCAATCTGTAGATATGGACTGCTGTCACTTGTGGATGCACACCATGATGATCCCGCTACAAAGTTCAGTCGGCCGTTCTTTGCTGGTGTGCTGGCATTCAGTTCAGAGGAAGCATTTAACTGATTGTCAAGAATGTACCAGCTCACCCCTACATCAACTTGTTCACATGATGCTACAAAAAGGGATAAAACATTGAATTACTGGTTGCCTGGAATGCTTCCATCAGCAGTAGTAGAGGAGGGACCGGTTACTCCTTTTCTTTGCGGGGGAATTCCATTAACTTTCGGGGGAATAAATTAACGCAGATGACGTCATGCATCTCAGTAAGATAGGATGATGTCATAGTTTAAATTAATTCCCATGACGTCACGCATGCCGTTAAGATAGGATGATGTCATAGTTTATTTTTAGCTGGCTGACGTCATGCATGTCATATAGATAGGATGATGTCATAGTTTATTTGTAGCTGACAAGGAGCAAGTGACGTCAGA